TTCCTGGCAACTAAGCTTTTTCTCTCCTCTGTGGATCCTGTCATGACGATTAAAAGTACCCCTAAAGTGGAAACTCTTTCCACACATTGTGCATGTATATGGTTTCTCCCCTGTGTGAATCCTTACATGAGAATTAAGTTTTCCTATTAAAGCAAAGGCTTTTCCACATTCCATACAACTATATGGTTTCTCAGTTATGTGGATCCTTTGATGGCCATTAAGACCAGTCTTGTTAAAGAAGCTCTTTCCACATTCTGTGCATTTATATGGTTTCTCTCCTGTGTGGATTCTTTCATGAGTAAGATTTTCTTTCTGCTTTCCATACTCAATAGAGTTATACGGTTGCTCCCCTGTGTGGACTCTTGTATGAAAATTAAGTTTTCCTTTCTCAATAAAGCTCTTTCCACACTCCAGGCATTTATAGGGTCTCTCCCCTGTGTGGATCCTTTGATGGATAGCAAGGGTTCTTTTCTCAAAGAATCTCCTTGCACACACTCTGCAGCTATACTTTTTCTCCCCTGTGTGGATCCTCTCATGGCGATTAAGAGAACTTTTGGAACGGAAGCTCTTTGCACACTGCATACATTTGTAGGGCCTCTCCCCTGTGTGGATTCTTTTATGAGAATTGAGATGTCCTATCTGACTAAAGCTCTTTCCACACACCAGACATTGATAGGGTTTATCCCCTGTGTGGATCCTTTGATGACGAATAAGAACTTTGTTGTCAAAAAAGCTCTTTCCACACTCCAGGCATTTATACGGTCTCTCCCCTGTGTGGACCCTTTGATGGATGGTAAGCTCTCTGTTCTCAAAGAATTTCTTTCCACACTTGTTGCACCTATATTTTTTCTCCCTTCTGTGGATCCTCTCATGACGGGTAAGACTAGGCTTGAAATGGAAGCTCTTTCCACACACTGTGCATTTATATGGTTTCTCTCCTGTATGAATCCTTTCATGATCATTAAGTTTTCCTATTAAAGGGAAGTCCTTTCCACATTCCACACAACTATATGATTTCTCGGTTATGTGGATCCTTTGATGGCCATTAAGGCTAGCATTGCTGCAGAAGCTCTTTCCACACTCTGTGCAGTTATATGGTTTCTCTTCTGTGTGCATCCTTTTATGAGAATTAAGTTTTCCTAATAATGCAAAGCTCTTCCCACATTCCTCGCAACTATATGGTTTCTCAGCTACATGCATCCTTTGATGGCCATTAAGGCTAGCATTGCTACTAAAGCTCTTTCCACATTTCGTGCATATTTTAGTTTCTCTAATCAAACTGGTACCCTCCCCCAATTTTACAGTACTATGTGGTTTGCGTTTCCTATAAAGATTCTTAGGTAAAGTAAGAGAAAATAAATGATGAGATGTGTAGGACTTTTCCACTCCATCTTCTGAGTGGCTGCTCTCTTGTTTTTTTGGATTTGTTTGGTCAAATGTCACTTCTCCTTCATAGTTTGCTGTTGGTAGCGACATTAACCACTCCTGCTTCTCCTTCTCTATTGCATCACCTGTTTGGAAAGAAGAAAATATATATTTCTATGGGAATTTAGAACTGTGAGGAGAGGGCAAGATAACTTCTCATGGGGCGAGGAAAACCAACACCCCCATTTTTCAGTAGAGGATTAAGCCAAAACTGGCAGGTGGATGTAAGGCTTGGACTGCTGAATTTTTTTCTAGAAGAGCGAACTGGAGATTGCTCATTTGTACTTTATACTGCCATTTTTTTAAGCTGACACCAAAACCTGTCACTTCTGCAGATACTTGTTATAGCTAAAGGTTGTGGGTTCCATCAAGCTCTGAACCATAAATGCCACCTTTTCAGTTGTTGGGTGGCATTCCCTTCCATTCATTTTAGAAAGATCATGGTTTGACAGCTTTCTTAAATCTTTATTTTTTGAAATCTATTGCAATATACAAGCAAGAGATTATTTTAGAGTTGTTTTTGGAAAGCTTTAAAATACTTTTTGAAAAAGATTTAAAGTATATGATGTTAATTAGAAAGAACATCTTGTACCAGAAAATGTCTTGTTTACATATCAATCGTAAAGCAAAATCTTGAATTGATTACCAGAGCACAGGGTGGCGATTTTAAAGCAAATGTTTCATTTATGCACCTTTGCATTTTTTTAACTTTTTATTTCTTTACTGGAATCAGAGACAACTGACAAGATTTCACTGGAATTATAAATGCAAATGAATGATACTATTTTAATTTGAAATATAAGAGATTTATTGGATTATTTCAGGGAAATTACAAGAAAATTTGAAGGATGATAAGAATTTGGAGTGAAAAGAATATAGAAAAAAATTATGGGATTTAATGATAGTGGGAGGAAGAAGTTATATAGGAGTTGGTAACATTTGATAGTTTTAATTCCTTTTTTGCAAAGTTTAATTGTTAAGTTTAATTGTAGTAAAAGACTAAGTAGAAATGAGAAATATATTATTAAGTATTTATGTTACTGGGTATTTTTGTTAATTTTTACTGGATCTTTGGTGAATAGTAAGATCTGAAGATTTAGAGTTCATAGAATATTGGTGACATATGGAATGAAAAGGTATTTTGATTGTATTTTGATAAACTGTTAATATTGAACGTACTTGTTGGAGATGGAGAAATTTCTTTCATATACATACAAATGTAGGTACGGGGGTATTTCTGTATTTTCTAAATATTTTTTCTTTTCTTTCTTATTTATTTGGCATTACATTGATTTATGTGTTTATTTAAGATAATCCTTAATAAAATTATGTGGGGAAGAAACCAGCTTTTAAGGGTCTTCTCCTCAGAAAAATATGCTCCATCTGCATTCCAGGTATATAGCATCAGCTTTGAACGCAACTTGGAGGTCTTGGATGCAAATTGTAAGCTAGGAAATTCTGATGATATCCAAAGGATTTTTCAGATGGAAACCACATTAAGACTTTGCTGTTGACTGGACAATTTTAGGAGTTTCCCAAAACTATTGTAAGCATTTCTAACAAGGCCTTAAGAAGCAACTTGACTGCAAGTATCTTTTTTATTTACCACCACCATCCCAGAAAAAAACAAACCTTCCTTCCCTAATGAATGGAACCCTGAGCAAAGTGGGGACTTACCCAGGGCAATAATATTCCTAAAAGCCTCCAATGTGACTTCTGCGCACAAGGCTCTCTGGTCAGAATCCAGTAATGCCCACTCCTCTTCTGTGAAGTCCACAGTGACCGCCTCAAAGGGATCAGACCACTAGAACGAGAATGTTGTACAGGAGACAGTCCCAGAAAAGAAATTTTCCCTCTTACTACACAAAACAGAGCTTTACAAGAAACCAAATGGGCATTTTCTTATAGGGCAAATTTACATCTAGATGTCCACATGGTCTTGACTGTGAAGCTGCCAGTTTCCCTTGCCCTAATAGCTGGTGTTCTTAAGTGCACAAAATATGACTGCATCCAAGTTGCTGACTAGCAACACAGCACCATTTAGGTTACTTCCTGCTTGTTTGGAATTACTCAACAAGTGGGATTTGGGGAATAGAATCCAGAGGCTCACCTGACTTGGGAAGGAAATTCTACATTCTTTGTAAACTAGGAATTTCTTCCATGGCTTATTTCAAAAGGGCCTGGAAATCTAAAGGCACTTGAAGAACAGTCTCACTGATGCAACCATTTAGTGTTGATCTTAGGGCTGATCCTTATGGGAAATCTGTCCTCTTTGGGGGGTAGGGGAGGGAGGAGAGACACTGTTTAACTACACACAGACTGTTTAACTACACACATTTGCCTATACTGCAGAGCAGCAGCTCAGGAAAGGAGCTTGAACTATGCTGCTCTCAGAAGAAACCTAGTTACCTGCTGAAATGGCTCAAGTTGGGGCCTCCCAAAAAGCAACTCTTGAGAAGGAGTGCATCTATTTCCTCTTTCCTGTAGCTCTGCTGAGATCTCTCCTGTGAACAGCTCCTGCATCTGAAAGAGAAGCCTAGTTTATGATCCATGCTCATGGGACTGTAATTGTTAGTTTGCTTGCCTTACCTTTGCAATTTCCCACCCCAAGTCAAAGTGAGAGAACTCAGGGATTCAGATTTGAAAACTACTTAAGTAAATGGCTGCCACCTTTGTGAAGTGTTTCATTGCCTATCTTTATTTCCTCTTATTCTGATCAGGAATTGTTACATTACTTGTCTCCTGCTCTTGATAGTTTTGGCCTTTCCTCTTTTGTAAATGTACCTATGCCTGTTCTATCTCTTCCACCAGGAATCTTTTAGTTTTAATATTTACCTCTTGAGTGGGGAGATCCTGCAACGTAATTCAGGGACAGACCTTGGGATGAACACCGAGATGGTTTTGTGCGGAAGATGCACACCCAGTCTTTTTGTGGGGACTTAGATACCTTGGTTGTTCAGTATGGCTTTTCAACCATTCCCCTAACATCCTTCCCACAGACTATTACACCATACCAACCTATGTTCTGTAGATGTATGTTCCCAGGGACAGTTTGTAAAGAAGAGAAGCAGGAGTGCAGGACTTCAAAATAAAATTTCTTAGATCATAAATGAGAATGAAGAGTTTGAGGAATGTCAGCTGATATGGAACAAGTGAATCAGTTCATTCATACATTAAAGAAAGACAGGGCTGTGAAGGGATTCTGGCCTCCTCCCTCAAAGTCATAGGCTCTCTTATAGCCCTCGGGGTTGAATGTCTCTTTCATTCTATGGAATTAACTTCAAAAGGAAAAATGAGCATTTGCATGAAGAAAAAATGACTCCTTTAAAGCAAGGGTCTTCCAACTTGGCAATTTTAAGACTTGTGGACTTCAAGTCCCAAAATTCCTGAGCTAACATGACTGAAGGAGGAATTCTGGGAGTTGAAGTCCACAAGTCTTAAAGCTGTCAAGTTTGGAGACCCCTACCTTAAAGAATGAGGAGTTTCGGAAAAATCGAACGGATTTCTTCACTGCTCGATATCTCTTATCGCCCTGCCTCGCCACCCCAGGGATGCTCAGGATGAAAATGCCTCACCTGCCGCCCCTTTCCGGGCTCCGGGGCGGCTGCGGGGCCGAGGAGGCAGCCTTCGGCCAGGGCCACCGCCTGGGCACAGCTCTCCGCCCCGCACTCCCTCAGCCAGCCCGACAGTTCCGGGGGCAGCAGGGCCAGCAGCTGCTCCAGCACCACCAGGTCCAGCATCTCGGCTTTGCTGCTCCGCTCGGGCCGCAGCCACCCCCGGCACAGCCGGTGCAGGCGGCTGCAAAGCGCTCGGGGGCTCTCGGGGAGGCCGCTCGGGCCGCCACTTCCCCCACCGCTCCCCGCATAAAGGGGAGACCTTCGGCGGGCCTCCATTCGGTTTCCGGCTTCAGCGCAGTTCCAACGGGGGGAAACTCCCTCCGAGGCCGCCGCCGCCGCCTTCGGTCACGGCGGACCCTTCCCCAACCAGTTGCCCCGCCCCTTTCCCGGTTTCACGGCGTGGGGGCGGGGGAGAAGGAGTGGGCTCTTCTCCCTCAGGGCTTTTGCGCCTCAGCGGAGCAGCTGCAAATCGTTCCCGCCAAAATTTCACGCGCCGTCCTGGCCTCCTAGAGGCTGGGCTCCTAGGGGTAGAGTTCTCTTTCCTAGAGAGGGAAAAATCTACAGGGGACCGTTCTTTCCTCCGCTGGACGAGCGCGCTCTACCCCGCCCCCAGCGCAAGCGGAGGCCCTTGTTTTCTGTACCGCAGGGAATGCCTTTCAGAGTCCTCTGCGCATGCTCTGTTCCGTTGTGACGTCGAAGACCGTTGGAACACCTGTGCTTGCGGAGTATTTGCTCGTGGGGTGGGGGGAGGAGTCGTTGGTGAAAAGGGCGAGGAGGTGGAGGATGATGGGCCCGGGGGCCGGGGCTGAAAGAAACAAAGCGGCATTGGGATGAAAAGTGTTTTCCTGCTTCTATGCCCTGCGAATGTCTCTTTTCCCAGAATCTCTTGGAAATATGATCTAATACATATCGATTTCACAGAAGACAATGTTGAAAAAGCA